CTCTTTTCTATTGAGAACTCTACTCATCTTTCAAGATAAATTTCTATAAAAATGCATTAAATGTTTGCAAATAAACATTATTGTGTATTTTCAAGTGGATTCTTTTCTTTAGTAAAATAACAGTTTCAATACATTGCATTTTCATACTTTAAATGATTTTTTTTCTTTCCCGCATTTGTAATATATCTCAAAGTTTTTAAAAGTGTTTTGTCCAACAATTAATGTGGAGTGTTATTCTTTTTATTTGATTGTTTAAACTTATATACAAATGAATCATAAAGTATAATTGCTTCAGATACTGGGAACCATGGATATTCTCTGCAGTGCACCTGCCTTTAATTTTCTTTGTTGTGCTTAATAAAGTCCAGTCTGTTGGAAAGGCAGTCAAAATTTTTTCGGCCTTCATTAATTCTATGACTTTTATTCGTTGCCCTTCAGTCTCACCTCAGCCACCTCTCACTCCTCCCTCCTCCCTCCTCCCCACACCGTTCACCAGGTGGGAAGCCATTTGCTCTTCAAACACTTTATGTCCCACAATTCTCTATAAGTAGGGGTTGTCAAAATAGCTGGGTCACTTCCACTATACAGAAAAAAAATAAATTTCAGTATTATATCTTCCTCTCATGAATGTAACCTCTCAGTTAGCTTAGAAATCAGTGAAAATTAGAAAATATTTTCTTTTTACTTTATTAATATTCTAAAGACATGAATACAGACACTCCCCAACACATTTTATGCCTATAGTTACATTATTACTTTGCTTTTTCTTTTGCCATCCTAACTGAAGTCAGTGGGAAAAGGAACCTTAGATGGATGGAATCTTGCTATACTCCACAAGAGTTAAAGGGAACCTTAGTGCATGTAGACTTGGTACTCTTCACTCTAACAGAAACTTTCATTATATATTTTAGTTAAAGATGAAAAGAACATTATATCTGTATGTCCTGCTAGGGGAAAGGACTATTCAGATCAATTTCCCATTTTCACATCACGTGATTTGCTTGTTTTGCTAATGAGTTATTCTCATACCTCTTGGATATTAATCTTTTGTCAGATGTATCACTTGCAAATATTTTCTCCCAATCTCTAGGTTTTCTTTTCACTCTGGTGATCACTTGACTGAGTTTTAGTTTGATAAAATCTCGGTGGCATATTTTTGGTTTAGTTTCCTATACTTTGGCAGTCTCGTCCAAAAAGTTTTATAGGTGAAATAAGATGGGAGTGGAAAGATAAAAAGCACATGATCTCACTCATGTGTGGAATATTAAAGGGTTGATTTTGTAAAAGCTGAGTGCAATTGTAGTTCCCAGAGGGTGGGGAGGGAAAGAATAAGGCTGATCAAAATTTATCTTTTATGGTTAGAAAGGAAAAAGCACATGGAGGGTGGCATGACACAGATGGGTTACTACAGATAACAAGCATGTGCTGTATATCTCAAAAAAGCTAGAAGAGGGCTGGGAATTTAGCTCAGTGGTTCTGCCGCCTGTGTAGCAATTTTTACAGTTGTCTGTATCAGTTTAAAAGTAAATGAAAAATAAATGTTATCTCCTCTAAAGATAGAGAAACAATATCAGTAAAAAATGAATTCAAGGATGGAAGCATTCTACTAGAATTCGTAGAATCCCACTATGTGCATAAGGGCACACTAGAATATTAGACAGAGAATCAATCCATGCATGTACAGAAAGAAAGAAATTGTTGGTAACCATATTATAGCAGCCATTTGTGTGAGGCAAAAATGCAGTTCTGACAAGCTAGTTATGACAAGTGACATATTTATAAGGTGCCAATTTGTCAAATAAATGGAGACTAAATTGGCTGTGGAATAATAGCTCATGATTTCTTCTGCCATTTTCATTGACTGATATGTTCCATTTTGGCCTTTTTTTCTTCACATACTTCAGCTGATTTGTGGATCCAGCAAAAGGTAGGTGGCTCTGTGGTCCAAGGAAAAGGAGAAATGACCTGCATTTATGGTTGCCCTTTGAGCAGCCTTCATGTGAGTTACGCCACAAATATAACCTCTGTTAATCCTCATACCACATCACACTGGTATCATCTCCAGTGTAAAAATAATTTTAAAAAACACTCATGGTCTCCAGCAATTTGACAAAGCTATATAGTTTAGTGGAGAACTCAATTATCTCCACTGCTGTTATTAGTCACACACCTTGGTTCCTTTGTAGAACAACTGGAGAGCAGAGGCTGTGATTTAGCTTTTCCTTGTTTACTTTGGTGGAATCTTATCTTTGGAGGAGTTAGAAAACTTGATTTGAATCCACAGCTCATAGAATATCATGGGTAAATTTAAATTTTGAAGGTGAAACTTAAGTTACAGGATAGTTTCTACCTCTTGTAAGAGGATTCCTCAATCTACACAATGGATCTAGTACTCAAGAAAGAGGAATATTACAGGGATTACAGAATGGAAAGGAAAGAAGGGAGAGAAAAGGAAAGGGAAGGGAGGGGAGGAGAGAGAGGGGAGGATAATAGATTTGGAGCACAAGAAACCATTAGTATATAATAGATAGAGAGACAATTTTCTATGGCCCCTTTTGTAACATCAACATCCTCCAAACCACATGTATATTTTATCTATCATGTATTTTTATTTTATCTATCATGTATTATCCTGAAATAAAAATTCCTCTGTAGCAATCTTCATTTAAGGAGTGTTTTCTCTGAATTATTTGGATTGAATTATGATAAATAAAATTATAAAATCAGAGACTAGAGTCTATCTATATTGGAAACTTTAGCTCTAGTCAGTTTGTAGTAATCTACTCATCCACTAACAAAGAATACACATGAAATAAAATATTCTAGAATTGAGAATTACCTTTAGTAAAAAAGTTAATTTGATAATTAGAAATCTTGAGGCTTTAACTATGGATTACTGAGATATGATACTGAGCAATTGTTTCTTATTTTTTGATCTGGTTTTCGTAGTGGTCTTTCTGATACATTGACAAATGAGCTCGGTAAAATATTCTTTATACTTAATTTTTACCTCTAAATGAACTGTAGATTTTGAAATGGACAAAATTATTGATTGCTGGTGGTATTTTATAAAGAAACTACTTCTGGATTTATTTGTTTTAATTTATATATTTATTGTTTTAATAAATTGTTTTACAATTTATTAATTCAGTGGTTTTTTTTCTTTGTTTTTGGGGGGGGGGTTTGGTACCAGGATCGAACTCTGGACCTTCTGCTTGTGAGGCAGGCAGCAGAACCACTGAGCTAAATCCCTGGCCCTAATTCACTAATTTTTAAAAGCATGTATTTGACAAGGGACATGACAATATACTACATGCAAAAATCTTTTATAATGAACAGGACAGTGTGAATCAAAAAGGAGTACTGAGGAGCAAGGAATGAAACAGCAGAGCTGACCTGATTCATAATGAGGATGTCCCTCCTACCCAGGCAGAAAATCTGAGTTCTAATTGTCCAGAATGAGTGCTTCCAAAATGATGTTCAAAAGCCTGGGTTTTCATAGATTAAAAAAAAATAATAAAAACAACAAAGAACAAGAAGGAGAATAACAAAGCTTTTGTTATGATTATATTTGTCAAAACAATAACACTACGTTCACTGGCTGTGGCTCCTGTATGTTATCCCTTCTAGGTTAGAAGTGTAAGAAGCAGGCTTTTGATTGGATCAACAATGCCTTTACAGTTGAAAGGAATCTTCAGAAATCTACTGTGCTATGTCAAATTGATCTAGGTGTCTGTGGTCTCATATCTCAGACTTCCCTTCTTATAGAAATTGTGCGACTTCATTCTTTTGACATTTAAAACCTTTTCAAAGTAGATATGGAGTTTGAATTCTGTCTTCACAAGGTAGGGTCCAATACATATAGAAGCAGAGTACAGACACACTAGGGTTTTCGTGGTGGGGAGAACAAAACTACGGAAGAGTTCTGCTGATGCTAGTGATGCAGGTGATAGGAAACCCCAATGAGACTTGATGGAATGATAAATATCTGACTTACCATTGGGAGGCTTGCATGCAGGATTCAGATTAATGTCTGTGACTCCTTCAGGGTAAGAGAGAAATCAATAGCCTGATGGAAAATTCAGTAGAGCTGCATGAGTCTTGGGTTCCATTTTCATCACAAGGGTGTACTTCTTGTGGGTTTGGAAGAATTTATCATAGGTTATTCACTGAAGATGCAACTGGGCTACCCACATTCTGTGTAGCAGAAGAGAAGCTGCAGGTTAACATCAGTTTCTCAGAGGCTCTGGAAGGATGTGCGTATGAGTCCTTGGATTAGTAGTCCCTGCCCTAAGGAAAAGGAAATTTGAGTCAGAAAGGACAATTTCCAATAATGGCTCACCAGAATAAAAGCTTCCACTGTCGAATCAGAGAGTACAGAAAGGTCGCCCATGAAGAACTCACATCCGCAAGGTCTCCTCCCTTGCCCATACTCAGACTTCGCAGGGATCATTGAGGACCAAAAGGGACAGGGGGGAAACATGAAGAAGAGACACTCCACCTCCCACCCACAGTTCAGGACAGGGCTGTCAGGACATGAGCAGAGCTGGAGACTACGACAATGTATAAAATTAATTTAGAGAGCTGACAGGGAAGGGACGCATCTGTAGGTAGGCCCAAGGAGGGACCTTGCACGACCAGACATCCCGTATTAGGGAGGTAATTCATACTCAGGGCTACAGGTTTGTTTTCCTGGCCCTTATTTAGCTGAGAAGACTGGTCACTTACCTAGGTGGACAACAGTTTAGGGCTCCAAAACTCCCTCTTCTTTGTGGAAGTTGCAGCTGGCACTTCTGAATAGGGTCCCACAGAGGGGTGAGAATAGACTCCGCTGCCTGCGCCCCAGGTGGAGCCTGTTCCCCGACCGGAGCTGAAGCGTGAGTTCTTTCTGGAGGCTTGAGTCAAGAACTTTGAGTCATCTTGATAATACCAGACTGGATACCTAAAGCTTGGAAAAAAAAGAGAGCAGAACTTTCAGGAAAACTGACTGTAACGAGTACATGGCAAATGTGAAGTCAATGTTCGGGGAGGTTCTTCCCAAATAAGGGTAATTGTCTGAGGAAGATGTAACCACCATGGTGCTGTGTAAACCCAAACTTTTACCCTTAAAATCTCAGACTCTGGAAAAACTGGAGAAAATGCAGCAAGCAGCAGAAGATACCCTTCGCCAACAGGAAATGGCAGAAAAGAAAAATGGGAAAAAGCCTACTGACTAATAAGTAGCGCTTCAGAGCACCCTACTTTACGTACAGTATATTACTAGCTAGAGTATAATCTCTACCTGTATGCTGAAAATAATATTTATTAATAAAACTGGTAATACTCATATAAATAATTTTAAAATACCAAAGATTGATAAAACTTGTTAAACACTGGTTTAAATTAAGTACAGTTAACTTTGAACCCAATATTTTTGGATTTTCATGGTTTCTAAATTACAATTTAAGTTACCATTCTTCACTCCTAGTACAATTTTGACATAGGCACAAATAACTAAATTCAACTTTTATGTAGAGCATTTTTACATGTTTATTACACATACGCATCTGAACATAAAGTGTTCAAGCTTTTGCATTACCTAAAACATTTTTAACCAAAAAGATTAATAAAATTAGTTTAGATTTTTTTGCTTTTGATATGAGGTTGGACATTCTAATTATTAGACTAAGTGTTTTATGACTTAAAGTGAATTTAAGGTAGTGAATTAACTAACAGCAGGGAGAAAAGTCATAAAGTCTGCCCATTTATTCTTTTAATTAAACTAAGAAAAAGAGTTTTTCTCATTTCCTAAATCCTAAGGAGACAATTGAAAGCAAATCAGACGTTTTTAGTTTTAGTCCAGTAATACTTGGACTAAAAGACATACTGCTTATTTGTGAAGTTATAGCAATGATGGCTAGAGCAATGGAGAGTCACACATGACATAAACATGAATGGTTCATAGTGGGAATAGCCAGAATAGCACGAGGGAAGTTTGATACAGACACAGTCCCAATCAAGTGCAAAGACCTGGAACTAGAACACCGAAGAAATAGTCTTGTGTTTTTATATGGCCAGTGTGCTCTTTTTAATGATGTTTCACGTTTGATTGTTTTGTGTTCTATTTTATCAACATTACAGAGATAGAGAAATGTGGCTTGGTACTTCCCACACCCAGCTTCATCAGGGTCAGGGCTAAATGTTCGGTATTTCACATTTTTCTTCAGCAAACAATTAATTTACCCATGTAAACCTGCCTTTTAGTTGCTGAATAGTAAAATGGGAACTTTTTTTGTACTTTAAAATGGTTCTTAGTTTTCCTATATTGATATAATTATTTAAAAGTATAATTAGTATTTTTTTTTCTTTTTGAAACAAGGTCTTTCTAAGTAGAATAATTGCACTTAGGATGGTTTTAACTAGGTATGATAAGACACACTAACAATAGAATAACTGCCCTGCAGGAAGATTTCCATTCACAGCCTCCTAGAAACCAGTATACCAGGCAGGGAAACACAAGGAAGAGCTAGGTCAATCAGGGTGCATGAGTGACAGGAAAGCCCAGGAAAAGGGTTTTTTATTGTTTCAGTAGAAAGAAACAGAAGAAGCAGGTTTAGCATTGAGTAGGTGAGAACTTCAGTAGGGTCCAGGTTGTCTGTCTCCAGTTGTCTGGCATTTGGCCCTGGAGTGATTAGGGTAGAGTGTGGAAAGCTCAGTAAAGAGATATTTGGATGGGAATTCTGGATTGATTGGTTTACTTGCAGGAGGTGAGCTCCAATGGGAGGTGTTGGCTCACTCTAAGCCTTTAGCCATCACTGGGAGGGGCAGGGTTCCCCCAGCCAGCAAGCCCTCAAATCTCAGAGCAAGAAGGAGACAGAATATACAAAAAATTTAGTTAATGCAGTAATTAATGGTGAAAATAAATTTAAGATGGAACAATAAGTGTCCTTCACATGGAGCTTTCTGGTATTCCTTGTCTACACATATTTCTCAAAGGAAACCATAAAATGCTCACATGAGGAACAATATATGAGACGAAGTGAATGGAGTTTGTACTAAGAAATTCATTGTCTTTGACCCCATTTTAAGATTGTTAGGCAAAATATAGAATGTACAGCTAAATTTGCATTTCAGAAAATTAATTTTTTAAAATATTACATAAAATACAGTTATATTTAAAAATAGTTGTTTAGCTAAAATTTAATTTATTCATTTATGCTGAATCTGATTACCTAATCTAATTTTAAAATATTAACTGTCAGGTAGAAAATAAAATTAGAACTATTTAAAGTATTTAAATTTACTGCTGTGGTCTAGATCTAGGATGTCCCTCAGTCTCATATACGAGGAGGTGGGAGTTTGGGAAGGAGATTAGATAATGGAGGTGTTATAGTCACCAATGGACTAATCCATTGATGAGTTTATAACTAAATGTGTTAGGAGTTTGTACCTGGTTAGAGGTAGGTCACTGGTGGGTGTAATCTGGAAGGGTATATCTCACTCCAGGTCACCATTTTGGTCTTTCTGTTTCCTGGCCACCGAGACATGAACAACATTCTTCTGCCAGACCCGCCCCACCATGTTTGTCCTGTGTTGGAGTTAGCAGACCTGTATGGACTGGGATCTCTGAAACTTTGTCAAAATAAACCTCTTTTCCTCTAAGTTATGGGTGTTGGACATTATTACTTAGCAACACCTTAGTATGATATTTACCATCATACAGTCCAATAAAAAATAGCACAGTACAAATGGCTATCCAGGAGACCTTAAACCAAATGTGACCAGCAGGTTAGAGGTGCGTATTTACAAATGGCTTATCAAGTAAGCATGAGTAAGTTGTCTAACTATCATAGTGATGAACTACTACCATGAAGGTTTCCTGATAGAAGGGCATCAATTAAATGTTCCAGTATTTTACTATTTTGGGAAGATAACGTAAGTTTTACTTTGATTATTGAAAACATTTACAAGAAATAAATGTTAACTTTTGCTTACACTGAAAAATCAAGTTGGTTCCACTTATGTGAACTAACTGGTTTCCCTTCTCTGTGAATGTTCATGCCTAGTATCGATTTTATTTTACCTCAATGCTATTTAGTTTATATTTCTGGAAAAACTCACCTGTTCCTCAATGCTGAGCAGAGATTGTTTTAATAAAATTTCACTTTATGTCTATTTGATCTTTCATTTAAAACAAAATTTAAATCAGTTACAATTAATTCATCATCCTTTCCCTTCCCCCAAATATAGTAAAAAGCATACATTTTCCTGGATAACTTCTTTCACATTAGAGTTAATGTTTAATACCTATATTTCTACAACATGCCATTCATCATACATTTCTAATTAACATCTAATTTTGAATTAATTTCCTTTTTTCTCTTAGGCTTTTCTAATAAGTCACATTTGCAAAACACCCATATTAGCAACATTTGCTTGATTGTAATACCTTGTGGATAGTTTTTGTATAATTGTCTTTTCTAAATTATTATTCTATTTGTTTTGTAGTTGTTGCTTGTTTTAAATGTTTCACTAAATGTTTCACACTCTTAGAAGTGAAAGCAAATTCCCCTTACATTTTTTATCAAATTTCCCTGTAGAACCATTATAGGAGTTTTGATACTTGGAAAATGAGATAATATTGATAGAAGCCAGTGGATCCAATAGCTAAGCATTCTAAGAGTTTCAAATATCTGTGAGTAAATAGTAAGAGTTCAAATCTCTTTTGTCACCTGCTAACTCTGAATCCCTGTCTGATTAGTCATTGAATTTTCCTTGCTTCAATTCCCTCTTATGTTTCAAATGGATGAATAAATCCACATATAGAATGCTGTGAAAATCAGAGAATACAAAAATTTTAAAAGCTTTGTACACACATAACTGATCATGATTTTGTTTTTTCCTGCATTGTAGTGTCACTGAAATAAAACCAATGATAATGCTAATATTTTGTTTCAATACTGTTTTTGTCAAGTTCCTGGTAGGTTAAAATCCCTGCCTCATGAACTCTATGTGATGCTGAATTTAAACAAATCAACCAAATAAAGCCCTTTCTCAAATTCACAATACAGTAGAAACTACACTTATGTCTTTTTTCAATAAACATTTATAAGACTTATTTTGGGAGTAGGCAGAGCTTAGATTTGGAGCATAGAAGTATAATGGGGTGGTAGGTATGATATTTCCTAGGTCCCTTACTATTTCCTATAAGGGTAAACTAAGTAAAATGTATTAAGCATTGCAGGACTTTCTTTAGCAGTGGCTTGCCCCTAGAGGAACACCCTAGGATACAATACAGTGGAGTTTATTGAAACATTGATCCTGAGGATCAAATCATAGGATTTTGAGGGTTTCTTTGTTTATTTTTGTTTGTTTTTTGAGACACAGCTTCACTATGTAGTTCAGTCTGGCCTTAAACTCACTATGTACCCCAGGCTGGACTTGAACTCATGGAGGTCTTCCTGCCTCAGCAGCTAGAGTGCTGGTATTATAGACATGTGGCTCCACACCTGCCCTAAAGAACACCTTAACAGTGACCAAGTGATTCCAAAGTGTAGACAAAATTATTTGAAAAACATGGCTCTAAAGTAGACTGGGCTTGACTGCTTCCACATCCCCCTTCAGAACTTAGTAAGTGATGGCTTATTTGGCTCCAATGGGTCCAATGTGTCCAATGAGACCACTACATCCTCTGCAGTCCCCTGAAGAAGAGGTGGGCCTTAAGGCTGGCACCTCTTCTTTCTATGATCCTCTCTACCTACACAGGGGTGATTCAAGTGAGTCACTTTTTCAGAACAGTGTGTCTTCCTTTTCACTGTAAAGTGAATCCACCAAGCAAAACCAGAAGAATAGGATGAGGAGAGAAAGATCCTACTATAGTTCAACTAGTATGAACACAAGGTAGGAAGAAGGCAGAAGATGAGACCTCCTTGTGAAAGTAAAGTGATTGACTATTCTCTGAAGAATCACCCAAAGGGCTTGGGTTGGAATGCATTACTAAAGAAGGGGATGGAACATCCCATCCACAGACTTGACTCAATGCGGTATGTGACTCTAAATGAAATAATTCCATGATGGAAACTTGCCAAGTACTAACTCTCCAAAATCTGATTACATGGAGAAAAAAAGACTCTTGTCTACCCATGGAAAGTTCAGAGTCTGGCTGAAATAGTCCTATGAATAAATAAACACCACATGTTTAAGAGGAGCTGGGCTAGAAGTCTCTGAAATCTAAGGT